ATTAATGCGTTAATAACGCATTAACGCAAATTCATTTTAACGGCACTAATTTTATTAACATGCAATTAATGCAGTGCGCATTTTCTGTTTCAGGGTTTCAGCAGGTCCTTAAAAAGTCTTAAGAGGTCTTAAATTTAGTTCTATCATATTTAAGGCCATAAAAAGTCTTAAATGGTACAAGAAAGTCTTAATTATGATTTCAAGAGGTCTTAAATTTGGGGAGGAAAAGACAAGAATTGTGATATGGCTTAATGTGACGATTAAACTTCAAAAGGCTATGATTTCATTGCATAAATATGAGCGCTGCACGTTTCAAAGTCAGCTGCTGCTTTGTTTACAGTTGGAGAAACCGCTATATTTCTGCCGTTCTGCTGGCAGAGAATGAATTAGCATTTTCAATAAGCCCGTCTGCTGTTTTTGTTCAGACCAATGCGACCATCCACCCATGTTTTCATGCAGCAAGCAGCACAGTTGTAAATATGAACTGGTAGATCGATAAGAAGATAATGCATTATAAAAATCCAAACAATTAAGCCAGTAAAATATAGTTATATGTTATTTAATATAATAATTAATTCTTAATAATTGTTTAAATTAATATAATAATTGATATTTTTGACTTTTGATTCAATTTCTTAAAAATGGTTTAAAAAACTTTTTTGTGAAAACCTGTATCTGAATTCTTCATGATCTATGTTGAGTATAGTTTCACTAATAATGAACATACCCATGTTGATTAGAGTATTAAAAACTTGAAAAGTATTCATTTAAGGTACATTTAGAACAGATAAAAATGTGCGATTAATCACGAGTTAACTCATGACAATCATGTGATTAATCGCGATTAAATATTTGAATCGATTGACAGCCCTAGTTCTAATACATTAGTTGTTACTAGCTGTTCCACTTACGTTCATTCCTGTTGGCCATGAGGATGCGGGGCATGAGCTTCTCCTGGCAGTATGTGCGGAAACTGTCTCTGATCATGATTTCCTCCTCTGTGAGCTGTCCTTCCAGATCCAACGCATCACGCCAGTTAAACTGCACCTTAGCTATAAATCCAAATGGTTTCAGCTCAAATACAGTACATGAAATCAAATTCAAACATTACCATCTGAAAATATTACACAAATATATTTACGTGTTTTTTTCACTTGCTCTTCTGTCTCTGAAAAAAAAAGAAAAGAAAATTTGAGATTTAGATATTAGCACAATCAATCAGTTGCCAAGCCTAAACATGAAAATGCATAAATTCTGAAACTTGATGTCATTTGATCAAATTTTAGTGTGTAAAGCTTAAGCATTTTTTATTATTATTATTATTTTTTTAATATACTGATGGTCATGCAGTGCATTTACACATCACCATCACCAAACGACGCCACTGGTTATTAGTTTGAAAAGTAAAATAATGTGCCATAAAAAGTTTCCTGTTTTCTCTACTTGTCTTGTCCTCACAACTGATATGATCATTCAGAGTTTTGGTTATGTTATGGTGACTCATTGATCTAACCGTATGCTGCAGGTGCTGAAGTGCCCTGGGCCCTTGACACAGAGATCAGAGAACATCTCTGTGAGTTCACCAGCAAACGCGATAAAGCTGTTCTCAATGCCATGGTGTATTCAAACCTGAAAAAATGCAACAAAATGCGTTACTAATAGTGTTACAGCAACATTATAACAGTGTTTACACACTAACAGTAGGCTAAGTTTATTTCACAGTGTCTTTGAATATTTCCAGCAGTAATTCCTGTTTTACTTTCCATTCACTTTTTGACGTTTTGTAAGCTACACAATGCATGTTTTTAGCTTTTGTTTTGAGTTATGCCATAATCTTATGTTATTACTTCATAAATATTGTAAGATGTAATTTTATCAATAACGATTGCAACTTTTATCTGTTATAATACCATTCATAACGTAAGTTGTTACTGTAAGTGTAGTTACTGTATATATTGCTATTATATTCCCATTAGAAATATTTTTGTTCTATTGAATAATCGTCTAGTCCACGCATGGTTACACAACTGGAATTGCACAACGAAATTGAAACCCATATGAGACACATTTACAGATTTCAAAATCTATATATTTATATTTCAGATGTATATTTTAAAACATGTAGTTGTAGACAGTTATTCTATTCGCCATGCAGTCATACTGGAAAATGTATTTAAAACATAATACCTTCAACGTCTTCGATCAAATGATTTCCCTGTCTTCTGTAAAACTATTTATATTCAGAGTAGAGTTGAACGTGTCACATGCACAAATTGGAAGAACGGGCCCGCCATCTTTTGTGAGGTATGTTTCATAATGCCTTTGACTCTGCGTTTGCCCCACAATAAATATGTAAAATTATTTTTTATATTTATAAAACGTCAATAATTATTTCATACTACATAATTACATACATCACTTATTATATTAACTAAATATGGCAATTGGCAAATATCGAATTTTGACATTTGCAAATGTAAGATTTAAATTAAGCTTGTTTGATCATGCCACATTCAAAATGGCTGATGACAGCGTCTGAAATCCTGTGGCATGTCGAAGGCGTTCTCCGGCACCGCGCACTCGGATTGGATGATTAGAAGAGGCGTGTGAGCGGAGAGGAATTTTTAAAGTGATTTGCTCTGTTACAACACACAACAGTGGCTGCTGGGTCGGTGTCCTCTGTAACATTTCTGATATTAATATTTCTATGTCGTGCACGTGCATAATTACAGGTGGCTATATAAATTCCAAAAACAGAACTCATATGAGACTGATGCTTAATACACAATATGTAAGATTTTTTTTATTAAAATATCCAAAAACCACTAGAACAGTGTTATATATTTTGCTGACTTGTGTACAGTTACTGCAAGTTGACCATATTTGCATGGCAACCCATGGCTAAGATCCAGTGTGTTTCAATTTACTTCACTGAATGAAACAGAATGACATAGGTAAAATTAAGATAAATATACTTTATCTGTGTGTGACGATGTGTGTTGGTTCAGCATGAAATTCCATTGTCTAAATTCTGAAAATGGGTATTTTTATTGTTTTTGTTTGTATTAATCAGCATATTAATGAAAGCGTATTATCTAATTATAAATGATAATTATACATTATATTAAAGCGCAGTGTCATAGTAAAAAATAATAATAAAATAATAAAATAAAATAAAGCCTGTTAATACAAAATATTGTTCTTTTATACCCACCTGGGGGCGACATATTTTTTCAATTAGTCGGGGTTGTAGAGTTGTTGGGACTTATAAAATGTTCCATGATTTATTTATTTATTTTAGCCAAATTTTAAAACGCTCTTAGAATTAAAACTTAAAAATTACAACTTTTTAAATTACATTTCTGTAGCTATTACATTTTAGATTAAAACGGTTGTAAAGAGTCTGGGAGGGGCGATGGTACCAAGAATTTGCACAACTTTGTCACCTGGTGTGAAACATGACGGTTTATTACATTATTCATGATAATCAGTGAATATCAGATTTTTTAAGTATTGTTAAAACGTTCATCTAATTAGTATTTCTAGGAACCGTCCTGGTTTTCCGCCAAACTGCGTGAATTTGCAGTTTTTCTCACGCCAAAATTCTTTGTTAGAAAAAATTGCATTCTAACACCATTACCATAGCAACAGAAACGGAGAATTTAATAGATCTTTATTCAGAGAAAGTTATTCTTTAAAAAGTTGTCAGTGGTGGGGCAAATGAGTATTATATCAGTTGTTTGTTGTTTTTGTAAATGTACAATTAGAATAACTAAAACTGATTTCTTGATACGCCAAACGCTGGCGATTTTCAGCGAAGGAGCGTTTATGTTTCATTGGCTGAGGCGACTGTCTGTCATTTTTTCCTGTCCTTTCATTGGTGAATTCAGCCCTCGCGCTCTCTCCTCGGACAAGCGAAACACGTCGCTATGCGTGTGCTGTTGAATGCGCTGCTGTCTGCCACACACTCCCACTGTAGAGCAGCGGAATTACTGATGGCCAATTCCTCGCAAGATTAGGCAACGGCGATACTGTTCCTTTCGAGATTTAAGTGACTCCCACAAGTGCGCATCCTTTATTTGCAAATGGAGCCGGAGGAGAAAAATCCAGAGTCCAAATATGGTAAGACATTTTAATTTTTTAAGGGTTCCTCCTCCTGAAAGTGATGGGGATGGTCCTCTGATGGAAACAATGACTAATGCGTGGGGCGTGGGTCTCGGGCATTTTGATGAAGAATAACAGTAATGCAGACCTGCACACTGGTTCTCGACATAAATCATACGTGAATGCATTGAAACACTGCATTAGACCAGTGTGTGTGAGAGAGGATACAGTAGGACAGATGTAATCAAGAAAACAATAGGCGTGGGCTCAAACACATGGCTGGCGTAATTAATCTCAGGCCAATAATTACTGCGATCATCATATGGTTGTTTTATGCGCCCTAATAAGTAAATGTGACTAGAACTGCATCTCTCATTGCCTAGTATCACACATACATTATAAATAGAGTTTTCATCAATGTTGCCTATTAATGTTTGTGTAACCGTAAAACTGAAATGTTTAAATATCTCTAGGATCATTTTAGTGGCTTGGGCCAATACAATACAATACAATACATATCTAAAATAACCAATACACCTAAATGAAAATATGACAAGGTTTGTAAAAAGGAGTGTGTTTTTTGGTAACTAAATGCAATACTTGTTCAAGTTATTAAGAAAAGGCAAATACTCTGCTTTAAAAACAAATAGTTATTTTACATGATCTTGCATGCTTGAATTCTCTGATGTTTGTAGTACGACCATAGTAACCACATATAAAACCCTGAATGGTTTTCTACTACCATTGTTACAGCAGTGTGGTTTCTAAAACCAGACTATTTTTTATAGAAACAACAGGTAGCATTTGCTATAAAAAAGTAAGAGGCCAACCACATTTTAGGGTTATTTTAGTATCATTGAGATTTTATTAATATTTTGAATTAGTGTTTTATTTTTATATTTTCTGTGTTGATATTAATTTTAGTTATAGTTGTGAGTTGTGTGTTTTTGTCATTTTTATTAGTTTTTTATTATATATATATATATATATATATATATATAGTTTTTGTCATTTTTGTAATTTCAATAGGTTGGTATATTAACATTATATCAGTTAATGAAATTACGGTATTTAACTGTAAATTTAAGTTAAAACCATAAAACCTAAAACGTTGCTACCGTATTTTTTTACGGTAAAATTCCAGCAACCACAGCTGCCGGTTTTTTATCGTAAATTTTACAGATTTTTTTTTTTTACAGTGTACCAAGACTTTTACCCCAATATATTTGGTAGACAACGTAGTAGAGAGGGAAGAGAAGGAGGATCATGACCAAGTCCAGACTCGAAACCAGTTTTCCCATGAGCACCACAGTTCTTTATGTCAGAGAGCTCGCACTGAGAAAAATAGTGGCTTATAGGGAGTAAAAGAACACATTTATGTCCTATTTTTCATTCTGACTTCTGAAATAATGGTCATTTCCACCAGCCAATATAATGTGCAGAATTGCTGGGATAATTTCTAGCCTCAGTGTGATTTTCAACCCAAGATGATTCTTGCTTAATGACACTGAAGTTGCAGATGCAGATTTGATTATCTTGGGTAAGAAAATAAAGCTTGATAATAGACTTGGTTCAGTGGTTCATTTCAATCTGCTACTAAACTGTCGACTTATTGCTTGAGAAAAGGGTTAAGGATATTAATAGTCCTTGATTGCTTCATAATCTTAAAGATCCACATTTAAAAGTATCACTCAAAATGTAAAATAAATAAATAAATAAAAGCCTGATGAAGCAAAACAACATGCCTAAGCTGAAGATTCAGACTCCCTAAAGCCTATTTTCCTGTTCCTGAGAATTTCTAGAACCCCAGTCTCATTCCTGAACTTCACTGGAAGGTTTTTTGAAATTCTGCTTTGGAGAACAAGTTGTAACGTGATTTATAGGAGTCTGGGCATGGAGTGAAGTATACTCATCTTCTTCTGGATTGCATTACGGTCTCTTAACCACATGAACACCAGAGATCATTATAGTAATCTCTGACTAAGACTATGGGAAGTGCCTCCTCGTGATGTCTGTGCAGAGACTCTAACTTTTATAAGGCTCGTTCATGAATGACAATGATACACTTCTCTCCAGTTGCCTAGCAATCTCACAACATTGCAATGCCCTTATAACTACAAAGGCATCTCAAATATCCGTGCCCCTTATTGTGTCTGGAGATCACGTGACTTTGCGGGTGGAAAAGGTCAGTTTGAAACAGGGGCCAAAGTGTGTGATTGGAATCAAGCAGTAGGTTGCCTTCTGACCATACGTCTGATCAGATCAAGCTTGAAAATAATGCACGATCTGTAGAAGAGACAGAGCAAATTGATAACACACAAACATGCCTTTGCACATAAACAACAGCTGTGCACTACAGATTGGCTTTATGAAAATAGCTCTCTCTTTTTGGTGCTTAAAATGTCAATATGATCTCTTGTAAATTCCCCCCAGATACCCTGATGCTGTTGAGCGCTGCTTTTAACAGCACAGCTGTCACTGATCTAACTTGCATGGAAGGGTTTATTTGTTGGAATGTTGGAAGTAACATCGTGTGGCCTGACTTCTGGTGTTTCTGTATTGATCATCCACTTGGTAACCTGGACTTTCTATTACTGAAGAGCTTGTGTAAAAAACAATTGTCTACACATCATTGAAATAAAAAAAATTGACCATTAGTGTAACCATAAATCCTCTACATGTGTCAAAATTGGCCAGAAATAACCTTGATTTTTTAGAACTTGATTTCAGTTTGAATGAATTGAAGGAAATGCATTCATATTCACACCGTGTCCTTATCAGACATGATGCCACGAAATGTGATAAAAGTATCTTTTCCATGTTAATCAGAGTTCGTTTGAATGTCATTTGTGTGACCTTTGTAGCCATACTGAAGGTGACAACGGATCGTTTACCTCAGACAGAGTTGCCAGGTTTTCACAAAAAAATCTGCCCAATTGCTTCTCAAAACTAGCCCGAAATTAGCCCAATCGCGTTTCGGAGGGGGGGGGGTTCCACCGGTACAAATCACGTTCCAGGGGATAAAATATAAGTTTTTGGTGGGGTCCCCCTGGTCAAATTTGCATTCCAGGGGATAAATATCACGTTATTGGGGTTGCTTCAACCCGCGGACATGAAAAACAACCTGTGGCAACAGTGTTAAAGGGGTCATATGATGCTATTTCAATTTTTCCTTTCTCTTTGGAGTGTTACAAGCTCTTGGTGCATAAAGAAGATCTGTAAAGTTGCAAAGACTAAAGTCTCAAATCCAAAGAGATATTCTTTATAAAAGTTAAGAATCAACCACTCCTACCTAAAACGGCTCGTTCTAACATGCCCCCACATGTCTACGTCACGATGTGGGAAGATTTGCATAACGCCGCCCAAATGTTCACGCAAAGAAAGAAGGCGTAACTTTCATTCTTGCTGTTTGCCGCCGCTGCCATGTTGTAGAGTCGCTGTGTGTTTTGTTGTGAAAGTGAAACTACTTTGTTTGACCTTCCAAAAGAGGACA